CTTGATTTCCAAAATTTTCATTTTTACACATTCACGTTTCTGGCATACGGGCGACGATATGTAAATATGTTAGTACATACATATGTACATTAATTAGCCATATGACTTTTTTCTAAATTTAAATGACAAACAATTTTTCACGATAAATAGATATTATAAGGTAAAACCGTTTGCTAAATTTATAGGCCATCCTTCTTCTACTTTATAAAATTCTAATTTTCAGAGCAACTCAAATGCCAAATAAAAGTAAAGGGCCATTCCATTGTGACTGGTGGGACATTTTACTCGAGAATGTGATCAATTGGGAATTATAACTATGTCGTCGGAACTTATGCAACAGTGAAATATATGAAATATATTTTTTAACATAGAACGATAACTGATGTATAAATTGTTTTAACAAAAATACCAAACGATTTCTTAGTTTTATGTAACTATCATTTGAATGAATGTGTCTGGTGGGCCACTGAAAAGAACTCAATTTACCTTTGTGCACTCAAAGATGAATTTAAGCCAAAAAACTTAATTTTTAGTTTTGACTACTTTTTTTTTGCTTTAAGCTTCATTAATTTTTTATAAAAGTTCAGCTACTTGTCTAACAAAAACCATATATGTAAGTCCAAATTTCAAACTTTGTACAAAAATTTTACAAATTCCACAAACTTTTCATCCCAATTCCAAGCATTTTAAATTTAATATCCAGAATAATTTTTGGTATGCAGTTTTATAGCTTATTAAAATCTAAGTGGCTAAAAAATGGCCTTGATCATAAGTTTTTTTTTATGACGGTCTTATGCACTTTTCTCCATATGAAAAATTACTTTGTATGAAAGAAAATGCGTGATACCGTCAGCAAAAAAATTATTAAAAATTAACACGATTTTTTAGCTAATTTGAACTTGCTTTTTTTATAGTAGAATTTAATAGGCTATAAAACCGCATATCCAAAATTATTCTAGAAATTAAAATGTTTGGATTTGGAATGAAAAGTTTGTGGAACTTTTAAAATTCTTTCACAAAGTCAGAAATTTCAGCTATTTGTCAAAACTGTTCAAAATGTTGAGGTGCTATCGTTTTGTGGCGGGCTGTAAGTAAATAAAAACAAAATATTCATCGTTCGAGGAAGGATGTACAGTGTGGAAAATGAACTTTTTGTGAAATAATTTTAACAGCATTTTTAAGCTTTTGAGATAGAGGGTTCAAAAAATAGTTTTATTGAATTTTATTTTTTTATTCAATAAAACTATTTTTTGAACCCTCTATCTCAAAAGCTTAAAAATGCTGTTAAATAAAAAAATAAAATAACCTTCAAAAATTGGGGATTTAAAATTTTCCTTTTTGGCCGGAAAACAACGCATGTTTCCATGGTCGTTAGAACCGAAAAAACACATTTTGAACTTTATTTTGAAAGTCTTTTTGAATGAAAAAATTTAATAAGAAATAATATAATATCATGTAATAAATTTGAACAAAAATTTGAAAAAACAATTACCTTGACCTTAAAAAATTAAATGTGTTCTTTTTTTACCTCCCTTTTATTAGCTCGGGATGTAACTATGTAATATTTAGTATGTTCCTTTGAACTTCGGACTAAAACCTGTGGAACTGTCAAACTACAATTTTACTCTGAAGTGATGCAGAAGTGCACGGGAATGCAAAAAGCACTATTTCCTGTAAAAACGTCAGTCGGTTTGTTTACATGTCATTGGAACAACACTGATTTGGCTGAAATATCACTAACTGATTAATAAAATCTATACATATTCAAATATTTCGTTGTTTACTTCCATTTTTTTTTACAAATACAAGGTTTTTTGCTTTCACCGCTTTCTGTTTTTGTTTGCACATGCAAATCGTCGGAACTTATGCAACTCCGGACTAAATCCTGTAACTTCTGACTAGGAACAGTTGCTCAGTTACTCTCTCAAAAGTGTTCCCACTTACAGGTTTTATGTCAATAGGAACGACTTCCTGTAAGTTCTGACTAAATCCTGTAAACCGGACTGCTATTGGAACAGACTAATTGATGCGCCTAAAAGATGTAGCGATTTCTATTATCAAGTTACCTACCTGATGACAGTACGAATGGAAATTATAATAGCGAGGTTTTAGTTTTTTAACTATAATTTTTTTATTGGTTCTTCCAACCACGAAAATGGATTCCTTGCGGCTATTTTCTGGTCAAAAAGGGAAACATTTGGAAATTTTTTTAATTTTCCAGAATTTTCCATCTTATAAGCTTTAAAATACTGTTAAATTTTATTCGCTAGCTGTTCTTTTGTTCGACATATTAGATATTGTCACACAAAAAGTTAATTTTCCACATTGTGGGACGCCATAATAGAAAAAAATTAATTCAGTTAAGTGCGCAGAAATTGCAGTTAGTCCTTTTATGATGTGTAAAAAATCTTTATAATAGTTAATTGTATTTCAAAATAAATTTTATTTCAACTGTATTTACTTCTACTGTGCTTAGCAATTGTAACAAGAAAAAAATCACTTGGACAAAGTAAGTAAAGTAATGCGGTAGGTCTAACTTAAAAACCGCGAAGCTTTTTTCTCGTAGTTTTTATTTTGTTTTTAACCGACTTCAAAAAAGGAGGTTATCAATTCGTCGGTATATTGTTTTTTGTATGTTACCGCACAACTTTGGACCATGTTAACCGATTTTTATAACTCTTTTTTTTCTTTTTTTTTTTAAGGAAAGGTAGTTTTTCAGAGGTGGTCCCTTACTTGTTCGGTTTAGATCCGATATTTGGATGATGAATATATGAGAATTGAAATCGGTTTTATTTTTTCCTTAAAAATTACTTGTTTATTTTATTTGTTTAATTATAGCGCACTTCCAGCAAACGAGTGATATGTGTACACATACATACATATGTATAGCAGAGTGCTTAGTACATATCGCTACCTAAAGGTGAAAAGGTGTCAAGTCCACCTTTGTTTTCAAAATTTAGTTTTTGATGCAGAATGACAGACTTTGGGGCATATTCAGGTTTTCGTACGAATAGAAAATCATGATCATCTGGACTTGGCACCTTTTCACCTTTAGGTAACGATAACAAATCGTCACTATGAATGCAAAAGACCCTATAGGCAACTTTTCCGAAATTCACTGTTTTTTTTTTTTTTAATATTCTGTTACAAAACTCTCAGATATACCCCCCACTTGTGTACCAAAATTCAAAGCCATATCTTAAACCAAAACAAGATTTATAGGTATCTTTAGAACAACTTGGAAAGCTTTTTCTAAGTAAATTTAAAAAGTTGTTTGATTTCTTTGTATAATTTCAAATTTGTCCAATAGGCTCTTTTGCATTGATGGTGACGATATATTCTACGCATTGCAAATGCAACTATATGTATGTGCAATTATCGGTCAGTTACTAACGTCTGTGATAATGCCTGACATCTATGTAACTATGTATCTAGCAGAGATATGAAAGAAAAAGGCATTAAAAGTTAAACTATACAACAGTACAATGGAATCTATTGAAAAACCTCACAACTGTGTTTTATTTATTTTTGAGTTTTATTTAATTGTGATATTGCTATGTCGACAAACCATAAGAGCTTACTTAATACGTTTTGAGAAAATTCGAACAATTTGGCTGTGTTCAGAAATGCATCAAACCAAAGCATCGGTCTCTTTTATTTCTAAACTATAATTGATGGAAATGCCTTATTTGCGCAACGAAGTTCGAATTTTGCACTTAATCGTAGGTGCGCATATTGAAAATGTCCATCAATTACACATAAATAAGAAATAAAATAGACTGATGCTTTGGCTTGATGGATTTCTGAATACTAGGTGTATCTCTTTTAAGTAACTACATGTGTAAATGAATATTTCATTTAAAATTTAAAACTTCTATTTATTATCTGATTTTGCTCGTACATATATGGAATCCAACCAACCCACTTTTCTCCTTTCTATTTTGAATGGAGTGACACAAATTGAAGGTCTTCTAGCTTTGGTATCCATAGGAGTGCCTCCAAAAGGGCTTTTGGAGCGCTTCTAAAGCTGCTTCTTTAATTCATAAAAAGCAAGTTTTTTTTTTACATATTTAAGGTTCATATAAAATATATTTTACAACAATTTAAAATGCATCCCGAAACTAATTTCTAATGCTTAAGGCTTATAAACTAAATAATACAATGTTATATGTACATTCGCGTAAATGTAAACAGAAAGGCATGCAAAGAAACATTTTAGAATTGCTTCACTTGAGAAGGCCTACCTAAATTATGGTTCGAATACGGATAGCAACGAAACCTCAGTTTGGTTGTCATATGGCAACTATAGTTAAGTGCTATAAAGGCTTTAGTAGTACCAGCAACCAAGGCTTCAGTCTAAAAAAGGTGCAGCAATAGTTGAAAAAATAAATACATTTTCTCAATCAAAAATTCTGCGAATTTAATTTAACCATTTTGTTAGCGAGGAATTACTCGAGTTTTTAGGCAGTAGATAGAATTCTCAAGACAAAGCCGAAACAATAGCAATGTGGATCTAGGATCTATGTACATATACATATGATAAGCCTATCTACTACTTTCTTTTTTCTTTTTTAAGTTTGAAAGTACTTTTAAGTCGCTGCGGAGAAATCACTGAGAGCAGTGATGAAGAATAGTTTCATCTTTACCGATCCCAGTAGATAAATGTTTTTGCTAACAAAGACGACCCATTCCTCTATCTAGGTACTATATCGAGAGCTTAGTCCATTACACAAACGCTTTTTAGCATAAATACGAATTTAAATGGATGCTATGGGATTTTAGTGCGGTTAAACTAGCCGAAGATTGCTACGTAATCAAACCGGTATGAAACTTCTTTATATTATACGTATTTGCATATTTCGCTCATACTATTTTGTCGTTTAGCATAATGAAATCTTATGTATACACTGAATGTTCCACTCATTTCATATTTAATATATACATATGTATGTATGTATATACTAGTTATAATTTGTATTTAAATAACACAATTTAAAGAATATAATTTTTGACTTTTTATTTGCAAATAGATTGCAATCCAAATTTCTATTTTCGTTTTAATTATCACCGTAACGGCTGTGTTCACGAAATTGGACTTCTATTATTTTTATTTTTACGTACTTTTAAGATAATATAGTATTAAAACAGGTAAATAGAACGCAAGTAAGCTACTAAAATTAAGATGGCCGCAAAACCTAATCTGGAAGTCACATACAAAGGAATACAAATTAACTTAAAATACTGTAATATGTTTAAGTAATCCCTTTTTTCATCCTTTTGACCAGGATTTTTTTTGCACAATTTCCATATAATTGCACCCAATAACAATGTCGCAGTCGCCATGTAAATATTGTAGACATGCTGTTGTGGCAGCATATCACATTTTAACACAGAATAAGTACTCGCGCTAAATGAAGCCTGTAGAAAGGAGTAGAAAGAAGGTAAGAAAAAAAGGGTACACAAATTTAAAATAAAAAATGTTTCGCCATACCATTAAGAAACTTGGCTCAACTTTATTACGCCAACTAAAGGAAGCTACTGTATACTCTTCAACACCAAAACGATTAATGCTGAAGCAATAGTGATGACTATGACCAGCAAAAGCAACGCGTGGTAGGAGCAGGCGACCTAAATTATATATTGGTGTATTAGACGTAAGCAAAATACCTACTATGCAGTCTCACTTAAAAATAAAATAATGTGTCACCTATTAAATCGGTAGATTCCTTTGAAAGCACCTCCCAGTTTTCACGAAATAACTCTATATTGGGTGCATCATGTTCCCTGCATGCTGCATCCGATTTTCGATAGGTAGGAAAGTGTTGCATCAAAATCGGACGACTGTAGGTTTTGTGCACCTTAAGCGCATGGATGTCGGTGCATGTTTTCCGGTTTTTTAGACATGTTAATTGTTCTGCAATGCATTATTAGTAGTTTTCAAAGAAAATTTCTTGTAACTAAAAACTTCAAGATGTGTAATTATGTATATATTTACCTGATATTCTATTTAAATCGCGCAAAGCTGTGTTACAGAACCTACATCCATCATTTAACATTGCCATCGAGTTGATCATTACAAAATGATTTCCTTTGATTGTGTACATTTCCACACCACTGCTATTGAAGTGTTTTGAAAAACGCTTAATAAAATAACCGTCCATTCTATAAGAATATTTTGTGAATAAGTTCAATATATTTAAAAAAACAACTGCATTGT